GTTTTAGAACAAGGTCTCACTATGTAGCTCAGGCTGGCCTTGAAGTCACAGCCTCCTGAGTGTGGGCACTATGGGCATGAGCCACTATGCCCAGCTTCAAATATACATGTTCTTTCAAAGTTCTGAAGTCTTCAGCACTTTTGGAACTTTGAAAAGTAAAATTAAAAATTTTTTCATTTAGGTTTTGTTTTGTTTTGAGACGAACCCTTGCTGTGTAGCCCAGGTTGGCCTTGAACTTGATATATAGTTTATGATGCTGTACTCAAACTTTGTTTCTCTGTTTTAGCCTTGTGAGTGCTGGGATTACAGGCATGCCCCACTATGACCAGATTATAATTAAAGGGTTTTAAGTCGGTCCAATTTAGAAGCTTTATTAATTTAATAACAAGCTTATATCTGAATGCTTTTTTTTTGGGTACTGAAAATTGAACTCCGGGCCTTGAAATTGCCAGGCAGACACTGTGCCGCTGAGCTACATCCCCAGTCCCTCTATGAACTTTTTTGTTTTATTTTATTAAAAATTTTTTTTGCTACTAGGAATCGAACTCTGGACCTTGTACTTGTGAGGCAGGCAGTGGCACCACTGAGCTAAATCCCTGGTCCATTTATGAACTTTTTTAATGTTTTCACATTTTGAAGGAGTGAATCCTAGATTTTCAAGATAGATGTTTGGGAAAGACTTTTTCTCCCCTCTTCAGTTTAGAAGTAAGGGAACTGAGGTCCAGGGAAAACTTGGGGTAAAAATTGTATGGCAGAACAAGAACTAAATACTTTTTTGGTAATTTTTCTCCCTTGTTCCCCTTGTTCTCCCTTGTTACATGTAGGATTAATCCACTGAAATATTCTTTAGGTTGAAAAATAGAAGAATTATTTCATTAAAATTGCTTTTAAAGATTGTAGATTATGAAATCAAGGGAATTGTATCATTACCCCATCTCTTCTCCCTTTTTGATTTTTTATTTTTGTAGCAGGTTATCACTATGTAGTTTGGGCTGGATTTGAATTCACTGTTATAGCCCATGCAGGCTTCCAACTCGAGGTGATCCTCCTGCCTCAGTCTTCAAGTGCTGTGATTATAAACATGTACTGCCACACTCGACTCTCTTTATTATTCTGCAAAATTAGAACAAATATTTTATTAAAGCTATTGCAGTATATATATATATGAAGATATATACGTGTGTACACATATGTGTACTTATATGTATATGTACAATGTATGTCATATGTGTAATATACACACATATTATATGTATGTATTCATTTATATTTGGTGCTAAGGGTTAAACCAGGACCTGCGTATGCTAGGCAAGTGCTGTACCACTGAGCCACACCCTCAGCTCAATGCTATTACATATTTTGATGATTTGGTTTAATGTTATATCTTCATTTTAAATGCCTTATTCTGTGAAGGGTTTCTTTCACAGTAAAAATCAGAATAGAAAGATGGAAATTTTACTTAGAATGAAAGTAGCAAAAGTTCATACTTGTTTATAATTTATGATATAATGTGGTAGTCTTTTTGGTAAATACTGCTATTTTAGTATGTGAAAATAAAACCTCGAGTTTTAAAGCACATATACTAAAATTATGAATAACTTTAATATGTGTATTCCTTAAGGGTTTTTGTCTTTGCTGGGATCTTGGTTAAGCAGGATTTTAAGCCAAGCTTTGGAATGGGGAAGGTAGAGTCTCAGCAGTATCAGGATGAAAGGATGTTTGAGATCAGTGAGGACTTGAGAAAAGGCAAAGACAATAGGAAAAAGTGGGTCAGTATACAAGTGCAAGTACACTGCTAACCAGTTGATTTCAAGTGAGTGCAGAGAAAGCTAATTTGGTAACCTGGACTAGGGCATCTCGCTAGACTAAATGGGTTTGCTTCTGTTGAGCTCATGCAGAAATTTTACACAGAGGAATAAGCCAGGTATCTATATTTTATGTGAAAATTTCTAATTTAAAGATGCCAGTAATTAAAAAATATTTTTCCAACACTGTATAGACATGGGAGTAGGCCTCATGCCCCGCCGAGCTTTCAGTTTGTGGCCTTTGGAGTAGAGCAGCGTTCCAAGTACGGATCTGGAGCAGCAGCAGCAGCATCACTTGTGAACTAGTTATAAATGACATTCATTCCAACTGAGTCAGAAACTCTGGAGATGGGGTCTGGCCGCTTTCAGGGAAACTGATGCTAGATAAACTTTGAGGACAATGTAGAAGAGTGTTTTGGAACTTAGCATGGTGCCCAAATCATGCTAGAATCTCAAAAATTTTTGTTGAAAAGCAAAGTGGGTGAAAGTGAACTGAGGGATATCAGTTTAGATGTAGCTTGGTGCGAGATTATAGATTACATTAAATCCTGCGTTTAAGGAGCCAGACAACTGAATGTATGGTAGGTAGCCATTGATGGCTTTTGTTTGTGAAGATAGGATTAAAGCTGTGATTCTTACAAAGAGTGTTATAGTAGCATTTAGGAATAGTCGTAGTGAAAGGAAATGAAATCAGAAGTTTAGGTTATGGCTCTAGAAATAGAAAAAATAAAGTGAATTCTTATTTGTACTTAATTTCATTGGTTAATTAAGAGTATTTTATAGCTGCTGTTAAATTAGGTTCTTTATCATAAAATGTCGAACATATAACATTCCTTTGACATTATCTTCGCTTTTTAATCTGTGCTATAACTGAATATAATGTATCTTCTAATTTGAGGTATTATTTTTATTATGTGATTCTATTACATCTTTACAGTAGAAACTTTAAAAATTATTGGAAGCTAATTACTATACAAAATTTAATTCATATTATATTATAATTTCAGCATGCTACCACTGAAAATTGATAATTTTCAATTTGAGTGTTTACTTTGTACAGTGAAATCAATTTTCCAGAGTGTGTATTGTGGAATATTAATTCTGTGACATGTTTCTAGAAAATAGTTTGTTTAAAAAGTACGTGTATCTTTTTTTTGATGGTTTGGTTCTGAAATCAATGTGAGAAGTAGGAAATTGATGTATATACAAAGTTGCCTTTGAAAAGTCCTTTGCTGCTCATAGACAGTACAAACGTTAACTTGTTATAATCATTTTTTCCCTACATTGTTCAAGCTTGCTATGTCTTTGGTTGTGTCACATGTCCTACTTCTTAGCATTAGTATAAACTAAAAAACTTCACTCTTGTCTTTAGACACCAGAATTACATTGCTTGCAGTGCTTACTGCAGCAGTTTTTCTGAGTCAATCTTGTGTAATTTTAGTTGGCAAAAGTTTAAATGAATACAGTTTTGCTCCATTTTCTTACCACCTCCCTCATTGCAACCATACCACAATTTTGGGAAATCTTGAATACTGATTTGACCACAGAATCTTTTTTTTTTAGAGGTTGTTTACTGTCTTGCAGAGCATGTTGGGGAAATTCTGAGCTAAACCAGTCTCTCTCTCTTTTTTTTTTTTTTGTACTGGGGATCGAACTCGGGTCTTTGTGCTTGCGAGGCAGGCGGCAGAACCACTGAGCTAAATCCCCAGCCCCTTTTTTAAATATTGAGAGTTTTTGAGTTTGGGGAGTACTTACAAACTTTTGCTTGCAGTGTTTGCTGAGGACAAGTTTCAGTAAGGAGAGTGTAGAGGAGGAAATTTAGGTACGAGCAATGGAATACACACTGACACTTCCACACATCCCATGTATCCTAGTGAACTGTTTGGGAGCTTACGGTGCAACATATAATGCTGGGAAAATAGTGATTTTATTTTTATGTTAACTTGATTCTGAAGAAGTGTTTTAAATTTGAAAAATAAAGTCAGAATATCATTTAATGCATAAGTAATTTAGATAGTAGTTAGATTATTTTTGCTACCTTTCTTTCTTTTTGGTACTGGGGATTGAACTCAGGACAATACACTTGAGAGGCAGGCACACTGCCACTGAACTAAGTCCCTGGCCCTCTTTTCCTTACTGATATGAACTTAAATGAATATTATCATTGTGATTTACAGTTTTGTAAACAAAAAGATTTATAATGGCATCCTGAAAAAAGTTAAATCTTTTCATTTCTAAAAAATGACAGCTTTCTTGAAATAGACAAATTAAATCCTTTTATTTTGTATAATGACCAACTTGGTGTTATTTCATTTTTGAAGCTCTTCTATCTTGTGTGGAAATGTTTAAAATTAGTTATTTTCCATGTGCCTTTTTTTTAGAATAATGTCAAATTTTAGATATGTTTAAATATCTTAGAGTGCAATAAATTATTTAATACATATTGTTGATGGTGGTTAAATGATTTGTTAATACATGTTCTTTTCAGTACCAGATAATACATTGTACAGTGTGTACCCTTTTTTGTTGTCCTAAGAAAAGAATTGAGTACAATAGAGGTAAATTTTTTTGGTGAGGTAGGATGGAATTTATTTAGGTGATTGTAGTATAATAAATACCAAATGTACCATATCTGTCATAATATATTTATTTTTTCAATGTTAACATCCATAAATTCTCAAAACCAAATACTTAGTGGAGAATTTCATTATAGGTACTTAAAGATAATTAAATGAAATATGGTTGCATTCCTAAAAATACAAGTGGAAATTTGTGAAATATACAGCTTAATTAAATATTAACAGAATCCTACTGTTTTTGTATAGTTAGAGGTATTATTTAATGTGTTTTTATGTATCTTTTAAATTGATTTAAACTAGTGGCTATAATTTGAAATTGTATTATTTTTTAAAAATTTAATTGCTTTGTAAATATATACTGGTATACTAAATAAGTAACTGCAAATAAAAATACCATTCAAGTCAGCCCAAGCAATTTAAGCTACAGTAGATATATTATTAAAATTTTACTTTATTTAGTCTTTTGTGTTTTATAATTATGTATAAATTCACCTGTTACAAAGATTTTTACTCTCAACATTTTAAGCCTATAGAAAAAGTTCAAAGCATTTCATAGTAGATATTCAAGTATCCAACACCTAGATTTTGCAGTGAACATGTTATATATCCATCTATGTATCCAACTCATCATCATCATCATTATTATTATTAGGTACCGCGGATTGAATTCAGGACCTTACGCTTGCAAGGCAGGCTTGCAAGGAACCACTGAGCTAAATCCATGGCTCTCAACTCATTTTTAAAGAATAGAAGTTATTTTAAAGAAAGTTGCAGGCCTGGCAACATATCTGTAATCCCAGCACATGGGAGGTGAAGGCAGAAGGATTACTGTGAGTGCCACGAGTTGGAGGCCGGTCTAGGCTACATGGTGAGGTCAAGGCTAGCCTGAACTACGTAGCAAGACTTTGTCTCAAAAAAAAAAAAACGAGAAATAAGTAATAAAATGTTTGAGAATTAGACTAGTTTACCCCTTAATACTTATGTATTATTAACTGTAGTTCAATATATGTGTGTGTATATATATTTAGGTAAAATTTGTGTACCTTGAAATGAAATCTTAAATGTGCCATTGTTTGGTTTGTTTATTTTTTGGTTTTTTGAGATAGGGTCTCACTGTAGTTGAGATTGATTTGGAACTCACTACATTGTAGTCCAGGCTGGTCTCAACTCACAGCGATTCTCCTGCCTCAGCCTCCCGAGTGCTGGGATTACAGGTGTGCACCACCATTCCCCAGCAAATGTGCCATTGTTTGGGCCAGGGATTTAGTTCAGTAGTTCTGCCTCCTGCCTCACAAGTGCAAAGTCCAGAGTTCGATCCCCTGTACACTGGTAGCAAAAAAAAACCCCAAAACAACAACAAGAAAAAAATCATTGTTTGTTGCTCAAATTTGTGTCAAGATTTAGAATGGAGCAAGGTATGCCTGTAATTGCAGCATTGGAAGGCTGAGGCAGAAGAATCTCCAGTTTGACCATGAGTTTGAGGCCAGCCTGAATTAGGTAGCAAGACCCTGTTTAAAAAAAAAAAAAAAAAAAATGGAGCTAGAGACGTAGCCCAGTGGTAAAGCAATCAGCATATGTGAGGTCCTAGGTTCATTTCTCACTATCAATGGGGGATGATCAGTGGGAGTGGGCTTGGTGGGGTGGGGAGATGGGACATTCCTAATCAGCCCCCTGGGATCTCAGGCAACCACTGTTCTGTTTAAAAACCCTAGATGGCCGGGTGTGGTGGTGCATGCCTGTAATCCCAGCATTTGGGCTGAGGCAGGAGGATCTCTGTGAGTTCGAGACCAGCCTGGGCTACATAGTGAGTTCCAGGTCAGTCTCAACTATGTAGTGAGACCCTGTCTCAACAAACAAAACCCTAGATAAGATTGCCTATTTGGGAACCTCAGGTAATTGCAGTCAGTGCTATATACACAGCTCCATTTCAATGTTTTTAATATTCATCTGTTATCTCTTTAGTTGTTCCATTACTTTTTATTGCTGAGTAGTATTCCTTTGTGTAAATTTACTAGTTTATCCTTTTATTTTTGATAGACTTCAGGTAACTGCCAGATTTTGGTCAATTTTATATTAAGTTTTATGGATACTCTTGTACAAGTTTATTGTGGATACCAGGCTAAATTAGGGAACATATGCATTTAATCTTTAAGCAACTGCTGGACCTTTATCCAAAATAATTGGATCATTTTATACTTCCATCAGAAATATGAATTTGACATGTATACTTATTCTGAAAATGATCTTTAATGCAAAGAAATAGGGGTTCTCTATAATGATACATATACTTAGTTGACATTCAGTTTTTAAGAATTAGGTAAAAAACAATGGATGGTTATCAATTTATATATAATGATTGTATATTTTTTAGTGTAATAAAATTTTTCAATCTTAAGTTTATGTTGCATTTATGTTAATGCCTACTAAAAGTTCTGGCAGGTTTTGGTAATTTTAAACCTCAAAAACAACCTGTAAGAATGTTTACATTCTTTATTGAATTTAGTTATATGAGACATTTTAAATTTCATTGAACTGTTAAACTTGTATATTTGGAAATATTAAGGCACAACAGAATATTGAATGCTCGAGTTTATGGAATGTATAAGTTCTATGCTTAGGAATCATTCATTATGCCCATTATTAGTATTAAATGATTATCTTCCTCAAAGTATGGTTTTAAGCATTCTTGTGAATCTTGCTGAAGATCTGGAAAATCCTCTTATAGGGTGGAAGGAGAGATCGATTAAATTCAAGTTTAGAAATAAATATTATTAGAGTGAAATTTATAGATTTTTAGTTTGGGACATAGTATTTTCTATAATGCAAGAAGGCTAGATATAGGAGGTTATTTTCCATGATCCCATGTTCCTAGTGATGCTCAATTTGCTAATCTGATGCTCATAAGTCTGGCAGGTAGGCGTTAGTATTACTTTCATTTTATAGAGTCATAAACTGGCACAAGGGGGTTAAGTACTTTGTTCAGGGTTACCTAGTTAATAAGTGGCAGAGTCAAGAGTCAAGGTCAGGCAGTCTGGCTCCATAATTTGCTCTTCTGCTACTCTGCAAAAGAAAGGGTATATATAAGTCTGAAAGTCTTATGGTCTTTCAAAGTTAATTTTAGGGAATTTCTGATTTTAGACCTTAGTTACCTTTTTTTTTTTTTTTTTTTTTTTTTTTTTTTTTGGTACCGGGGATTGAACTCATGTCCTTGTGCTTACAAGGCAGGTGGAAGAACCACTGAGCTAAATTTCCCACCCCTTTTAAATATGGAAGCCTTCATGAATTTAGGTGTCATCCTTGCGCAGAGACCATGCTAGTCTTCTCTGTTTTGTTCCAATTTTAGTATATGTGCTGCTGAAGTGAGCACTAGTTATCTTTTGTTCTATTTAGCTTTTTGTGCGGTGGGTGGGGAAGATCTTGGACATAATCTTTTATTTAGAACTTGAGAGTACAACAGAGTACTTGATAGAGGATGTTTTTCCCAGCCATTTTGGTGAGAAGTTCTTTTTATTCCTGCCTTAGGGCAGTCATGAACTATTTATTTCTTGGATAACCTAGTGAAAACCAGAGTTTTTTTTTTTTTGAGACAGGGTCTCACTATGTAGTTGAGACTGACCTGGAACTCACTATGTAGCCCAGGCTGGTCTCCAACTCACAGTGATCCTCCTACCTCAGCCTCCTGAGTGCTGGAATTACAGGCGTGTGCCACCACGCCTGGCTCCAAAGCAGAGCTTTTGAAAACAGAACTTTTGAAGTGTGGAAAATATAATATTTTATTTAGTGCATAATGACTATACCTGTTAGAAAAAGAAAACTAATTAAAATAGGCTAAACTTGCATACGACAAAATTGTTATTAGAGTTCAAAAACTGATGAAAAAAGCTGGACTTGGAAGCTGAAGCAGGAAGATCACAAGTTTAAGCTTTGCCTGTGCAATTTAGTGACCTAGTGAGACCCTGGCTCAAACAAACAAACAAGAAGCTGGCAGTGTTCCTCAGTGTGAAAGCCTATGGTTCAATCTCCAGTCCTGATAAAACTGATTGAAGCATTCCCCCCTCCTTTTTTTTTTTTTTTGAGACAGAGCCTCACTATATCAGGCTAGCCTTGAACTCATGTAGCCCTGAGTAGCCTCCAACTTGTGGGGCTCCTCCTGCCTCTGCCTCCCTGAGTACTGAGATTTCAGGGATGCACCACTGTACTCGGCTCCCATGTTTTTTTGTTAATGCTAAAAATCTTAAAACTTTCTCTGGGAAAATAAAGCTTGGCAAAACAGCAAAAACAATACATGACAACTTTTTTTTTTTTTTTTTTTTTTTTTT